TCTCACAGACCAAACAGGATCAAACAACAAATTTACTTCCTGAACACAGCGATGTTTGTGAGATTTTGCTCGGAGGATTGACGAGATTCTATTCAAATGACCTCGTACGTGAGAATCTGCGAACAAAATCCGATATTGAAGAAGATAGCAAAAGGCTTGCTGGAGTTTGTTTTAGAAGCACGCGGTGGGAACAGCTTCCAAGTAATTAAATTGAATACATACATAGTGTGATGAATGCTTTTTGTTTCAGGTCAAATTCAGCAGACCGAGGATCACTGTAGAATAATTAAAGTGAAATAGCAAACCCCAGATACAGTCAGATAGATATCGTTGTTGAAATTCTTTTAATATCCCACAATATGCCATGAAAATTCAACACAAGCCAGCGCTCTGTGATTGTAAATGCTTTTAAAATTGTTCAGACATGTCTATTTTTCTACTCCAAATATCCCTTCATACAGAGTGCATGTTCGTGAATATGATCTGAACTGATCTGGAAGGAAACCACGCAGAAGCCGCTCATCGTATTTAAGGTACCAGCTAATTGACGGGCTTAAAATACATTTCTGCCTTTATCCAGAGCAATGTTCAGAATTTGCAGACTTCATTCCAATCACTTTCACAGTTCCTGAAAACAGCGGCGAGTTACATTGTCTTAATTAGGAACATAGGCTGGCTTTACAGCAATGCGTGGGAGGACCTGGAGGTTGAAGTGCTCCGTGAATGCAATGTGCATCATCATCCTAATAAAATATAACGCCGAAAATTAACTGCGTTCGACCCGAGGCACGCAGAACAACAGGGTCCGTGGAGCAAAATGATGCAGGTTTCAGTTTGTGTGTACGGTATGTGCGTGTTTGTATAAATGCATTTGCGAGTGTTGAACCACAAAGAAAGCAATTATGGATAGGGGGAGGGGGGGGAATGTTTCTTTACTGTGTTAATTCTTTTTATTGGAGTAGAAAGGAGAAAATCCCTGAGAAGAAAAATGTGATGTAGACTGCGGCTCCTTTGTCCCAGTTTGAGGACCACGTTCGCCAAAGTGCATCAAAGTGTCAGCAACTCAAACATGAAAAATGGATGAAGACTATGGTGCATTTCTCACAATTTTTCTAATAAACTGTCAATCAAAGTGCTGCATGAATGACACTAATATCATATGATGCAGCATTCCATATCAAAGATCTCATCGATGCTCATTCCCCCCCTTTGGCTCAGTCTGAGGCCTGTCCTCCCCTCGTATTATCACCATCATCATTTGGACATGAAAGGAGAGAAACAAGTGCTGCACCATTGCCAAGGAGAAACCTTGATCTCGGAGCATTTGCATTCGCCACCTTGTTCCGCTGGATGTATGAACGAGTTACCAAGGTGCTCTCTGATTGGACGGCGCTGAATAGCAGGCATTCTGCTAATGCTCAAAACAAGCAGTGTTCTCCCCCCTCCTCCTCCACACACTGTCACACTCAGTTGGTGGCACTAGAGGGCAGCCCACTCTGTTGGTTTTTATTGTTTAGGAGCCATCTACAGTAGAATTTGCATTAAGGGACACAGAGATTTTTTTTTTTTTTTCAAATATATAATTCATTTTAATTAATTCCTTGAAAGATATTTCAGGTTTCTGTGAGCTTAATGCTCTAGTTTTTCCCGACACCAAACGTTAAGCTTTTGCAAATTAATTTGGAGTACACCATTAATCTTTAACTAAGCAGTTTTTCCAGCAACGCGTGGATTACATATACAAGACGTGAAATATGAAATTCACTTTGTCCTCTCTGGAAGACTGTAAAACTGAATTAAAATGCAATTTTATGACACAATGTGAGTTAATTCGTAATAATATATCTTGTAGCTCCTCTTAAGAAAAAGCTGATCTGAAATTACTACTGGGCAGAGCAGTGATCCTGAAGACGCTTGAATGATGAGCTGCACTCTCGCCACAATGCGTTTTAATTCTCAGATATATCGTAAATCCGTATCAGAAATAATAACACTAAAAATAAACTGTGTTAACTGAAAAAAGGGGGGAAACATCACTGATATTTTATATTAAGATTCAAAGAGAAGCAATTCATTTAAGCCCATAATGCATGTGTATATGCACACACACACACACACTCGTACACACTTTTGAAGCAGCTATACTGTGCCTGTGTGTCTGTGGTACAGTGTCTATCAGGAGGCTGCTAATTAAAGGCCTACAACAATGAAGCATGGAAACCCCAAAGGAACAATGTTCGTCTGAGATGAATTAATGTAAGAGCAGTGGCGATTACCACGAGGGCAGTCAGCCATTTCATATTTCCAGCACAAGGCAGCGGACCTCAAATTTTAACCATGACAAGATTTAAATGTAGTTTACATGGTGAGAGGCTTATCACAGTTTTCCTTTTTTTTTTTTTTCTGCCCCCCCGTCTCCATTTTTTTTTTCTTGCTCTGCACTAGTAAGTGGTGAAAGTTTAACTAAAAATGATGTGGTGAAAGCTTCGTCAAAAAACAATGATTACACGTGAAGGATGGTGACAATCAGTGTGTGTGCGCCGTTGGGGGAACGTGGACAAAGTCGTCCAGTGTTACAACTTAAATGGTGACTGCATCTTAATTTTTTATGTGTATTACAAAAGGCTTCTTGTCAACAGGGAGGGGGGGAGAAAAAGCATATTGACACTGGATGATGCACTTAACCCGTGATGATTTTCTGACATGATTCAAACAAAATCTCTGGTGTAGACAATTTGCTTCAATTTTTCACTGTTCATTATTAAACGGCACCTTCTGAATACAGTTTGTCTTGATTTTTTTGCTATTCAAAGAAAGCTCGGGAAAAAAATGCGAATTGTTCCTGTATTTACTATCTTTCAATAATCTGCTTTTACCTCCCTTGTCAATAATAATTTAAAAAAAAATGTTGTTTCCATCTTGATTTGTGTTATTACACGTTTCTTTTAAAGAAAATGTGACGCTTTGTGGAATTTAAAAGCAATTTTCGTTATGTGCTGAATAAACTTTATAACTATCATCTCCTTTTTTCTGAAATGTCAGTTTTTCAAAAAGCACGCTTGCATGCGGCACATAAAGACGCTTAAATGTTTTTGTGCTACCTTTTCAGCTGTTGTCATGGTAATGAAAAGATGATAATTGCATGTATTACATTTAAGATGATTGCTACATGCTGATCTCAGTCAACCAATCTGTAATTGGCACTCAGTTCAGCGGGGAACCTTTTTCTGTTTTTCTTATCGGGTTTATAATTTGAAGGTATCGTTGTAAGGAAAGTAAAAAATGTTGGAGAAAAAAAAAAGAAGATAAAAATAGGTCAGGGCGAGTCCAAGCAATGTAAAGTGCTCTCTTTTAGGCCATTCATGGTACAAGGTCAGGTCAATCATGTAAGCATGGCTGCTGCTTCTCACAATCAGCATGAGGATGGGATCACCCTTGTGTGTTGGACAGAAAGCCCACTATTATAGCATCACCCCTTCAGAAGCTTCTCAGTTCTTCTGACTGTGTTCGGGATGGAGGGGTGGGGGTCTTTGCTCCCCTGGCTGAATCGGAGCTCTACGCCGCTCTATGGAGAAGGGACCTCTGTGAATAGGCCCCACTCAAGAGGAATAAAGGAACCTCTCCACTGGTTTGTTTTGGAAGCTGTCTTATTGATCTGTCTACCTATGAATGAATGAATTGGCCCAGTTTTCCCGCTCATGCGGACAATGGCACTCAAGGCCTGTATTAACTGGCCTGATGTTATTCCCAGAGAATAGCGTGCATTAAGAGGAGTTTGGGAACGTTTGTCATTCCATCCCTCCATCTACTCCACTAACCTTTCCCACAAGAATAGAGACGCCAAACTAAAAAAAAAAAGAAGCAAATCGATGGCCATTGACTGCCTCGATCAATGCCAGTTTGCGCGAGGACATATTTCATGAGAAGAGTGATGCTGAAAACACAATTTACCAAGCGCTGTCGTACAAAGACTATTAAAGTCTGGCCAAAGAAAAAAAAAAAAAAAAAGACTGAATTTTAAATCTTGCTTGAGAAGTCGAAGAACCAAAAAGGAGTCGCTGTAAATGCAGAGAAAAGCTTTTTAAGTCCAAAGCAATGATAGAACTGATTTGGAAAGAACAATCTTATGTGCTCGAAGCTTCCAAGTGCAGATAAAGAAGTGAGGCTTTAGAAAGGGACGACTGTGTGGAGCTGTTTTTGTAACTCTGGGTGTATTTGAGGGAGGGTACATTATAATTTCCTTGAATTCCATGACAAGGCCGTAGCAGAAAAATAAATAAATATCAGGTCTGCATTAAAAGGCAAGAAGATGTATAAAAACAACACCACTTTATTCAAGTTATTTTTTTACAGTTTTACACTCTGACTCAGTATAAAACTTCATTTTTTTTCCATCCCTGTAAAAAAAGTTCTCATTTGCCTGTTAAGAGTTTTAAAAACACAGAACTACCTAAAGCAAGTGCAACACACAACATACCAAAAAAATAATTATTGTTCTCAACCACATTTACAGGACTTTTGTTGGCATAATTTGGAGGGAGGGAGAGGGAGGTTCAACAAGGAGACAGACTGGATCGATGGGGAGACGGTTTCACAAACAAGTCTTTGGTGACGAGTGGGTTTTCTGAAGTCATTCTAATGTAAAAAGAATATCGCCAAAGTTCAACAGCATCACAGACTCCCTGTCGTTTTGGTAATTTACTGACTTGCAATAAAAGTGAGTAGGATGTATTAAATATTTAAACTCAGTTTCTCTCTTTGGTCATCTGGGAACAAGAGTCAGTATGAAAAGACAATGACCAACAAATCAAGAGGTTTCCTTCTTAGTGCTGAGAGAGGGAACGAGCTCTTCTTTCGACTAAAAACTAAAGCAAGTTGCTTTAAACTTCACAGCAAATGCATATCTAAAGTGTCCATTGCATCTAGATAAACCCATTTTCCTGCTGAAAGTTGTGTATGAAGCCAGTAGAGTGTCAGAGTAAAATTAAAAAATGACAAAGTAAAGAACATAATTTATTTAAGACAAAATCTAAAGCAGAAATAAATACATGAAAGAACAACAATTTGTGAAGTTTACTTTGTGAACCCAACAATGAATAATAAACACTTTCAGTGGTAACAAACTGAAGAAACAAATGAATTCTGAAAGTATCCCAGCTGTTCCTCAACTCACCGGATCGCTCCTTCGAAGAAAAGTTCATCTGTAACTGATTTGTCAAACACATTTTCAAAACTGATTTTTTTAGCCATCATGCACTCAGAAAAAAAACAAACAGGGGTGCTATTAAAATTAGAAATGTTTACAGGCCTCTGCATGTGTAATAAATACAAAAAAAAGACAGATTAATCAATAAAAAATAGTCATTAGGACAAGTTAGATTTAGTTTGAGAGGCAGATTTAACAGATGGTATTAGACAAGTGGAGAGTTCAAGATAAGGGGGGGGATGGGAGTGTTAAATCAACTCACCGTACAAATCATTTTCAAGAAAACAATCTAGAAATTAGGCAGGATTGATACATTCATTATGTGCATATTCCTCCTCATTTCAAACGGACACAAACTAAAGCTAAGACTTTCGACATCAGGAGCTTAGAAATGTTGATATGGTGCTGCTGGACTTAGTAAAACGTGTTCTGTACAAAACTCGAGAGCCGGAATTTAGAAATTTACAGCTCCGTTGTATAGAAATGTAATGATGAAATGACATGCCAGAGAACCACGCGGGATTGTGTGATGTGTAATTAATCTGGCACCATGTACCCTACATTCCTGAATAGACTGGACAATCACATTGGCCGGTGCGCCACCAGCACAATGACTGTTTGTGCGTACATTTGCCCACCAAAGAATTACAGTATGCTAAAGACACAGTAAATATGTCCTTTTGTGAACCGGAACTACTGAGTCCCTCTTTATCAAGATGGATGTACAGGAAAACCAAAAAAACAAAAACAGAAGGCCGCAGAGTTGTAAGTCCAGTTTTCGATCACTAGCACGCATCAAACCTACAGCCGTCGAGACGGAGGGGGAGGGGGAGCACACTCACTTGGCACCATTTTAAAATCAAAACTTTTACACAATTTAATCTGTTAGAAAAAGAATACAAACAAACAAAAGATTGTTCTCGAATGGGTTTAAAAGCAAAGGATGGGTTAAAAAAAAAAGAACAATGGAAAGTAGAACATAAAGGCGGTGGTCTATCAACAGTAGTTGACGTCGTCTCCTCTTGATCACAATGCCCTTTCACATCGCAGCTCACCAACGGCACACATCCTGGACGCATACGTCGGCTGAGCCCCGCACGCCGCTGTCCTCCCCTTTGAACGCTGCCTAGAATTCTCCCATAGCTTCTAAAAGAATGGCTCAGTTAAAACCAGGAAGTTGAACAATGCAAATGAAAACATCACATATCTATTGGAACGCCTTTCGTTTCGTCATGGAAGTTGTTGTCCTCTATGGCAAGTTCAGTTAGACAATTTTTTTAAATACATCAGCTTCAAGTCAATGAAGATGTCTCCCCATGAGTTTAACATCTCCTTCAGCTCCCCCCCGGCGAGTGCGGCTCTTCTCGTCCACTCTATAACCCTGGTTGGCTCACAGCTCTTCTCAACCAGCCTGGAAGTACCCACAGGCCGCCTCTCCCTCCTCCCGATTATACATACATATAAAAAAAAGACTCACTGGTACTTACTGCAAAATGTTAAGACTCTCAGACACTTGAGACATTTAAGAAAAACAGGCCGAACAAAACAAACCCCCACATATTTTAAATTGACAGACAAGCATGGGGCCCATGTATGGCAGTTGTCAGTATCCCCATAATTTAATTAAAACAAGGGGGGAAAAAAATGGATTTTAGGCTAATATGAAGTCACATATTAGCTTCTAGAAAAAAAAAACCCAGATTCAGTGATATTCTGTCTAAATGTAGCTTCTTTACAGTCGCTGAGGACATGGACATGAACTGGAACATGTGTGACTTCAAACAGCTGGTATCCAGTCACGCTAAGTAAAAAGCTCTGTGGTGTAATTCGTTGCCAACATTAAAGGGGAATTAGCCTCCACTTACAACAAAAGGAATTTAAAAACATCATAAAATCAAACTCCTGACATGCATGAAGCTGTAAAGAAGCTGCATTTGTGGTTTTCGAAACTAACGGATATCACAGATCTGAAGATGCTGATGGATTAAACTCATTGCACGGGCTCGTTTGTGAACATATAACTATTACTCTCTCCCCACTGGCTCCTGTACATACGGCGGAACCGAGTGGAACTGCCTGGCGTCGTCTCAACATGTAGAATTAATTGTAATCAGTATCTCTGTATTTTACTTCATTCAAATTTTTCCCACAGAAACCTGGATGAAATTTTCATTCCCGCTGACAATGTTAAATACTCCTCTAGCTCATACTGTCTCTTAGTGAGGTCTATAAATCTTGCTCGCCCAAATAAAAAGTGGTGGTCGTAGAAGTAAAAACAATGACGAGAGTTCACAGTCATCTGTGGAGGAAGCACTGGAAGGTGAACCCGGAGCTCTGATGATATGATCAGTCATTGTGAGGTGGTCGGAGGGAGGGAGGGAGGGAGGGAGAGGGTTTAGGAGCAGATTCTTCAGTAGGCCTCTGTTGCCCCCACTCAGTCCTTTCTGATCAGGCCGAACACACGGCAGCACTGTGGGGGTCTTTGATGCGACTGTTGGGTTGGTGATGCTATGCCGCCATGAGATACTGATGGTAGAAGAGGCCAAAGAGAGAGGTGGAGAAGAGGCAGGCGGCGATCCACCAAGTGAAGAAGGAGAAGAGGCCCCGGAAAAGTAAGGGGGTGAAAACAGTCTTTAGGCCTCCCAGAGCCATCGACAGCTGGGCCACCGACGCCCGGGCTCCTGTTTCTATCACCGAAGCGAGTGTCGGAGCCGCTGCTGGTGCTTCCTTCATCACAGAGTCAGAGTTCATTTCCTGGATGCAAGGTAGGTCTTCTTCAGGATAGACCCACCAGGAGTGACCACCTGAGATAAATGGGGCAAAGGAAAGAAGCAGATTTAACTTACGGAAGACAAAAAGATATTTTGATCTGGGAAAAAAACCAACACAGAGCAGAAGACGACTCACCTAAAGTTTTTAGCAGCAAAGTTGTATGTAGCAGCATCACCAGGGGTGCCACATACTGTAGTGCGATTACGCACAAGTAGTAAAAAACACGTGCAACCTGAGAGAAATCAGAGAAGAAGAGCAGCATTACAACAAGCTTCTACACAAAATGTTTAACACAAACCTCGTCTAGCGTAGGGACACGGCATAACACAGCTCTCTGCTTACAGGTCAGTGTCAGCTCTAATAAAATGATTTCATATGGGACAAATGGCATTTATGCTGAAAATGATGGATCACTGGAGGTGTCACTTCATGCAACCAGAACTTCAACAATAAAACTTATAGATTTTTAACAGCACTTCAAAATAATTAAATATGAACATTTTTATATTAAATGTGATGGAACTGTTTTGTCTGTTGTAGGCGACGAATAATTAGTTAAATCTAGAAAAGAAATAAAACAAAAAATGGACACTCGAGTCTGTATTTCCAGAGCCATCCATTCTAATTCAGGCTGAGGTATATTAACAGTTACCACTGTGCGCAGTAAGAGGCTTGTCTACATTAGACTACACTCTCTTGTTTCCTGTTATTATAAAGGGAATCATAAGAGCTGATCTGATTGGCCACAACTGATGTCAGTCCTAAAGGTGCTCATTGATAATGCACCACAGGTAGGTTGCATGACTTCTACACAATACATGAGTTCTGTGCGCTACTCTTTCCTTCACAATGGCAAGATCTTATTTTCTTTTAATTAAATGAAATTCGCTAATTCCTAAATTTCTCCATTTCTAGAAAAAAAATAAAAAATAAAAAGCAAGGTGGATCCATCTTCAGTCCTTCCAGTAATATGTCATGTGTTAAAATGGATACGGCTTTACTACCATTAATACAGAGTTGCAATCATTTGACTCACCATCTTCTGCAGTTCAACGGTGCTTATCCGTCCCGCCTCCTTCTTCATCTGGTCCACACCCTTCTGGGCCAGGTTGAGGTAGGCCTGCAAGTGATGTCTCATCATGGCGAGCCGGAGCATACACATCAGTATGATGGCCCACAGCCGCAAAGTATCATATGTCTGTTCAGTCATCCTGGTGTTATTAGAAAGACAGGAGTAAGAGAAGAGACGTGAAAAGGTGGCTTTTTTGTGGCCTGCAACACATCATGTATCTGCTTCATAACTTGGATGGTAAGGCAGAGACACTGAGATAGACAGATAAGAGTCACGAACAACAAAAAACACAAAGAAAAGAGTAAGAGAGGGTGAAATTGAGGAATGAAGAAGGTGAAAACGGGGCACTGTAACATGAAATCAGACTTAATCGGGTTTGACCTTGATGGTATCACAGTCACTGTCAGTAGCCGAAAAAAAAGTGAGACACACGACACAATTGAAACTTACGTGACAAATAAAAGATGGTATCTTAGAATGAAGAAAAAAAAGAAAAAAAAAAAGAGATAGAAGATAGGATGAAGAGCCTTCCTTCAGGTATGACTAAATTTGTTTACAATCTAATTTAATCCAAGCAGACACCGTGTGTGTTGTCATCAATGAGCTGAATACCTTCTTCTCATGTTGTAAGTTCCATTCTCCTAACTGCTGTTGCTTTGTTTACATCCACTTTCCAGCAGAAAAAGCAACAATTGCTCGACAACATTGCCACATCCCTCTTGTTTGAGTGGCAGGTAGAGACGCATCGATACCACTGTTGTCACACCAAGTACACATGCTTTGATTTGGGTACTGATACAGAGTACTGATAGGAGTATTTTTTTTTGCTTTTTGAGTATACTGGTTGAAATTTCTTGATGTTCCAATGACACAAACACTACACACACAAAAAAATAACTTTTCGCTCTAATCCATCCAGCTGCAGCACACAGTTTATATTGTATTTATGAGTACGAGAAATGTTCCTGTATGCACGTGATGTACTGTATACCAGCTAATTATTTGTACTTACAAAGGCACACTCTCCTTTCCCAGGGTGGGGTTCATTATATAGTCCTTGGTAATAGGCTTTACCCACAGCAGGACCATGATGAGAGGGGACAGGAAGTTGATATGAAGCAGAGTCCTACAGAAAAAAAAAAGAAGAGTCTCAGAATCATCTATGGATCAGTGCGTTATATAAAACTGAGTACCTCGCTAAAATCATCCCTGTTTAATCTCAATTGGAAGTTAGCATGGAGAGAAATAAGGTCCATGTTATCAATGCAACTTTCCTCGAGAGGGGTGCAAAGATAACCAAGGCACACATTTTGAAGGGCTTGGAGATAATCCCTGCTAGTGACAGGGTCTGAGGATGTAAGCTCATGACACTTAAGAGGGGGAATGGAAGAGGAGGCCATTTTGGAGAGTCTGCTATGCCAAAGTGGATTATCTGAATGCGATGTGCTCCCTGCTCTGCACCCCCTATCATGGTTGGAGACATGCCACCCAGTGAGTTCTGAAATAGAAATCTGCCCCAACTGAGGAAGTCTTCATCTTAGTCGCAGGGTGCTCTCTTGTATCTGACACACGCTGAATAGTGGGAGACAAGCACCACTGCGCTTTGGCTTCTTGATAGTCCAGGATAGGATGGTTTGATTCTTGATCACTGTTTCTGTGGCCAGTTTGAGCACACGAAATATGATTAGGATCAAGCTAGACCAACCTGAAAGTTTTCTACTATCATTGGAGACGCATATTTTACTGAACAGCTAATTTAACTACATGGGATGCCTTGCAAGTGATACAGTATACAAAAAAAAACTGAGTGTACCCCAAAACATATGCACTAAAACAATCAATTCAAAATTGCATCATCTTACAATAACAGAATTCCTTTTAAGTCGAAAAATTGTAAATAATGAAAAACCACAGGCTATACCAAACTGAAACTACATACGTCACAGTACAACCTAAATACAACAAAAGTGAGCACATGTTTCTGTAGAGAGGTTCCATTCTTTCATAAATCTTTGATATTCTGTGTTCAGTTGTAAAAGTCTTTCACAAATCTGGCGAGAGATGTCCAACCATCCTTCACAGGTGTGTTTTTTTTTCAGCTCTGACATCCCCTTGAAAATTGTCAAAATACAATCTTGGACTCAAATAAGTGGACATGGCCACGGCAAGGTCAAGTTTTTATTTTTTCCTTCCTGAGAAGCTCTATTGTGATTGTTGCAGAGTGCCAAGAATGGGAGTCATTTTTTTCATTCAGTATTTTGGTGTAAAACTTGCATTAGGCCATCTGTAAATGTCATCTGTCATATACCTTTTGTACTCACGCAGCTACACTGCAGCACAAACACACATTCATGTTTCACTTTTGACACTGTGATGTCACTATGGTAGTCCTTGCTAAGGCCACAGCAAACATGTTGGACGAGAATTGATCCCCCCCAAAAATAAATAAAATAGTTTGACCAAAGAATGTGTGGCCGATATTCATTAGGTTTTCTTTTTTTTGGTGAAATATTCTTTGGTAAAGTTTAATCTTCCAAATAATAATCCAATCTGCTCCAACATTTTCTCTGAATTATCTAAAAAAATCAGTGCATTGTTGAAAAACTGAGTAGAACAGTGACTATCGATGCTCGTGGACCTTCTTTTGGATGCAGAAAGCCTTGATGCAATAGATGCATGCCAGGCCAAAACAAAGAAAGCTGTGGGGGTCACAGGTTCCTCTTTAATCTTGTTCATATAATTGGTCTTAATTGGAAAATATAGGTGTCATTCTTATTGTTGCTGTGGTCAGAAGTGTACTTGCTTTTGTATTACGATACACACATGTATACATATCAGGGTGGCTGTAGCTCAGGTGGTGGAGCGGTTGTCCCCTAATCGCAAGGTTGGTGGTCTGATCCCCTCGTTGAAGTGTCCTTGGGCAAGACACTAAACCCCACATTGCTCCCAATGTTGCACGGCAGCTCTGTCATCATTGGTGTGTGAATGGGTGAATGAGAAATCATTGTATAGGGCTTTGAGTAGCACTAAGGTATAAAGTGCTATATAAGTGCAGACCATTAATTTTAGCAGATTTTCAATGTAGTCTATCTAAATTTTTTGTTTTTACATACACACAAAATGCAATACCCTGAATTTCATTTAACGAAAAAATTAAATATATATATATTTTAGATTTTTGAAACAATCTGAAAATATTTTAGGGGTATGAGCATTTAGGCAATACCATGCACTGAAGGGTGAGTCTACAAAAAGGGATATTAAAGTCCAACTAGCATAAGTAAATAAAAAATAAAGCAACATCTGAATTTCTAACAGACCAGGGATTGATTTTTAATGATTGTGAAGGTTGTGTTTCAACAGAGTCCGACCCCACTTCCATCCTTTTTATTAGAAAAAGGAAGAAATCAGATGTGGACACAGAAATGAAGGCAATTAGAAGACTCACTGTGTAAATTTGGCTGTGGTTAGAGTGAGTGCATCTAGGTGCATCTGGGCCAATCGTAGACCAGGGAAAGTTAGAAATGCTCCAATCAGGGAGCAGAGCAAGGCCAGGATCAACTTGAAGGTGAGCTTAGATATGGGACCCCTGCGAAAGACAAAACACACAGTGAGATACTACTGTAGTTTCATGAGTCATAAAGAATTCATGACTGCAGAGAAAACAAAAATGATACTATGAGAATACTGATGTTGTACTTACTGGGACTCCAGGCCCTGGTGCTCCAGAAACTGTTGAGCGCTGTCAGAAAAGTTTGCAAAGCCTAGACATGAAGAAATGTTCAACAGTGACTTACTCAGTGGGACCAGAAGTTAAAAAAAAATAATAAAAAATGTTCCTACCATCAGGGTCAATTGTGAGAAAGGTTTGGTGCAGCACTGACCTGTCTCCAGACCAAACTCCAGGTAGTTTTCAGTGACGATGAGAATGGCCATGGCTTTGACAAAAAAGAAGAATGCAAAAGTGATGCAGAGTGAGCGCTCGCCTCCTTCCTCCAGCTTGAAGTAGTGGGCCGTTAGAGAGAAAAGGGTCTTACTGTAGGGACGGAGTCAAGGAAAAACACCTCAAGAAGCACGCTGATGTGAAAAACAAATTCAAACCACTTTGTAGAAATAGTATAATGTGTTTTGGCAAATCCAAGGGAAACGGGTAATTATCCTCAATAGGCCAGCACAAAAAAAAAAAAAAGTAACACACAGCTATTCACCACACTAAATGTTAGTCCATCTTTACAGAAGTACACAGTCTGTGCATACTTACAGGCCCTGTGTGAACCCTCAGCTCCCTGACGCCACACAAACCCTGCTACCCGGCATGTGTGAATGCAGAATATGTGGCGCTTTGACAGCGGTGTGCGCCGTTGAGGTCACGACTGTATTTTACTCTTTACCGTCGTTGGTGAACTGGTTGCCGCGGAGATGAACTCGGATTCTGCAACATTTCTGGTGACAGTATGCCATTCATTCCCTTTCAGACTGATTCAAGAATGGTGTTCAAGCCAGTGGCTGCTTTCTTCCAATAACCCTCATTTTGTGCTGCGAAGACAGCTGTATAAACATGCACTAGATAAGTTAGAGCCAGCATGAGGCTGAGAGGGATGGTGATGTTTGAGCTATCACGTAGTCGCCTACAATCAATAGACTGCCAAGTCGGCCCGTCAGCATTGGCCAGAGGGGATAATATTCAGTCATGCTGATCAGTTTCACTAATCAAATTGAGAGAAAAAAAAAAAAGCAAGTAAATACCATTAAGTGTATATACTTGGGGAACTCCAGTGTTCCAGTGTTATTAATAAAAGGTTAACAGAGCAGTGCGGCTGATCTCCAGGGCAAGAATCTTCAACATGTCATCAGGGCTGAAATGGGAAAACTGAAATCAAGTGTCCCATTAACACATATATTGGAGCAACATATTCCCTCATCTTCATCGTCCCATTTCATCAGTTCCCTCGGTCTGTCCTTTTCCCGAAGCATATCAGTCTGTTGGGCTGTGGAAATTGGGCCTCCAATCTCCAGCGCAGGCAGGAAATGACACACCATCTGACCGCATTGAGCCAGGCCCTGACCAGGAGAACTGGAAAGATTGATCCCTTCAGTCGGTGGCAAGGATAATGTATATTATTTAACCATCATTCAGCATCGCAAAATAGCAGGTGGAGGATAAAGGCGATGGCGGTCGAGCCAGTAGGCAGTCATTTTATAGCCTCTTACTGCCACTGCTGCATCTCTCTTATAGACAAAGACATGTTAACCTTTGACATGTTTTAAAATAATTGAAACGCGTGGGTGCAGAGGAGAATCCGTAAAACATGTTCTGCAGAAACATCAGATGCTACCAACTCACTCATACCCAACATAGATGTGTTACCGAGGATCACTTTGCATCACAGCACCGAGGAGAAGACAAAAGAGGAGATGTAAATAGCGACTGATGGAAGGATACATGACAAAGGCGAGTACAAGTAGGCACCAGACCACACTGATGTTCATCTCTGCTGAGGGCTTAGCCACACTGTAGTACAGTTCTGTTATCAGGTAGACCACGGTCGCTGCCACAGTGAAGTCCACCAGCCACTGGAACTCTGGGAAGTAGTGCAACGCTGCGACCAGAAAGGGATATAATGAAATCACAACATTCAATTACAGCATATACAATATGGTACAAGAAAATCAAAGTGAGCGAACAGCAACGGTTGAACTCTCTTTATGTTATGCAGCATATGTAGATGTATACCTAATGTGTCGACTTCTGTGATGCTTTTTGTCTCCAGCTGTAAATCTATGTCCTTGGGAACTGTTAGTGGCTTGCTGTCTATGTGACCATTGTACTTCCTAGTGGGAGAATGAGGCAGCAAAACAACAACAAGAAGTAGGGTTAGAAAAACATAAGACCTTTCAGAAAAACACAATTCCAAAATGCAAGTACAGTCCAAAGAATTTGAGACAATTAGCATCTTCAGAACTTGTGTAGAATGACAAAAGTCACAATTATGTGAGAAAAAAGATCCTTTTCGTAAACTTCTAGCAAACAAAGAGAAGTCAGATGCTTGTCCGAGTTCAAGAACTAAACTTTCTGCCTAAACCAATTATGCTAAAACCAATTTCTGCCACCCATGTAGTCATTGTGGAAGTGACTCCAACACAGTAAAAGTCCCTTCTTTATGGTGACATTCAATGCAGCTCTGGCATTCAGATTTAATAGTTAGCATAGGTCTAGATACTTCTATTACCAAAACTACCAGACTCTGTCATGACCAAGGGGGCCAACACAAAGGCAACACTAAATCGCTAACAACAGGTGAATGGAGAGCTATTCTTTAGGTCTGAAGAACTGTCTGGTGGGCCTCCTCACTTCTGGACTTTGTTCAGCCCTGTGTGTGTGCTGAATTCATAAGGACAATACCACTGTAAGACTCTAGGGCCAAACATGCCCCAGACAGATTTCATCTCTGAGGCACCTGACAGGAAAAAAGGGGCTCAGCTCTTCCCCCTGACTGAGGGAGTCAGGCGGTTAACAAAGGGAATGGAGCCGCATGGCACGAGCTGGCAAAAGGACAGTGGTGCATCTTTTTCTTCAAGGGATTACGGAGCATGTGGTGCTGGAGAGCGGTGACCTGCCTCATACAGGGTCAGAGAAAGGACTGAACTACAAAACCGCCTTAAGTTTGAGAGCTGGACACCATGTGGAACAGTGAGGATTAACTTTCAGTTGTGACTTTAATTTAAATTCACATTTAAAAGGAGAGTACAAAGGAAAAGCCACTGAATTTGCGTGTTCAACATATGGTTCAACTTCCACCTGCAGCCAAAAAAAAAATATGAATAGCATTTTTTTTTTTGAATTGCAAAGTAGTCTTGAAGGAAAATCATCCTCCAGAATCAAAGCTTGACATCTGACCACTTTGAAGATATAATGCTGTTTGGAAAACTTTGATTTCAGAGTGGATGCAATCCTTTTAAACTCTCATCCCCTAAAATAGACTAAGTAGTAACGTTCCCGCTCGCCCCCCCCAAAAAAATAGGACCAACTTTCCTCACATCCAGCAGACAGGACCACTTCTAAGCTGAGCCCCAATGAAGAGCCATAAAGGAAGAAAACAACAAAAACAGACTTCTGTCTCCTTACTTCAAACAGGCCTTAAATGAGCCACATAAACACATCAGCTTCATCTTTGAGTCGACATGCCTGTGGTCTCCAGCCATCTCAAACGTCTGCTTCTCATCGTTTTCCTCTGTGATGAAAGGGGTGCCTTTTCGTACCTCCTCTCCTTTTTTCCCCCCAAACTACCAAACAATAGCCCCTCTTCACTTCTGCCCTCTCTTCCAACCTACCTGTCTTTCCTCTTCTGTCCTTTTTGTTTCCCAGCTAAGCTCCTCAACTCATCTTCCGTAGGGTGCTGATACCACCGCAGACTGTGCACAAAGAAAAGGAGAATCAGACTCAAACAGAGGAGGAAAGAGTGAGAAAAAAGTACACAATACAGCAGATTAACAGTTGCAGACATCGAAAAAAACGGACAAAGTAAAGCTACATTTGCTGTCCTGTGTAATTACTAAGATATAAAGTGTAAATTATTTATGTTGATTCTGGAGTATCAAAGGAGTAGGTAAGTAATTTGGGTTTAATTCACCTTTAAAACGTACTGAGAAATGTTATATAATCACTTATCTGTGCACTTTCCTTTCTTGTGAGAATAAGGGTATTTCACCTACAGTTAAAAGCTTAAATTGCCTTTACATGACTCTTTAAAGTAATATCAAAAGCCTCATACAAATGCTCTTGTAAGCGGTGACATTAAGTCCTGATTCTATGAAAATGACTCAAAGACTCAATTTGTAACATCTCTGAGCTTCAAGAGCCAAACAACAAACATACACCAAACAGACATTTCTCTAAGCGTAGCTTTACATCAGCAACTCTGATACACATCTAAAAAGCGCTTGTGAAAGGCTTTACACCGGCAAGGGTATTCATCCTAAAGGACTGAGCTTTAAATACGAGCTAATTTAAGAACATCCTTTGGCAGACAAACATTTCAGACACCCTCCTTAACTTTGTTTAGAAACCCTCTTGTCAGAGCGTCTTGAGAAGCACTCTGTGTGTGTTAGAGGGGGATAGAAGGAGCACAGCTTGTTTTTGCCTTTGTATATTTATTTATTATGGAAAATTAATTACAAAATATTCTGAAGGGATATGCCAGGCCTCCTGCTTAGGGCAAAAGTTTTTGAAAATGTTTCAACAGTGCCCTGAAAAGAAAAATGAATTAATTATTAAATGTGTTCCAATAAGCTGTTTACTGAAGAACATATGTGGCACTAATTAGAGGAAATGAGGCAGAAACTTTATTTTCATGCGCCGTCCTCCCGGGTCATCCTAATATTTCAGCGCTCTTTGGTCTTTGCAGTATGTTTTAATGATTCTTTTTTTATTCTATCCAACTCCTTTTGAACACTCTGCTGTCTGAATAAACATTTTGATCCCTATTGTTCTGAACCGTTTCTGAAATAACCCTCTCAGGAAGCAAGTAAACTGAGGAAATTAAAATGTTAAACTTAGAGAAGCTATCCGAAACAGCGTGTAAAGGATTCTACATTACCTGCCACTGCAGAGTAGCCATCTTGCGAAAGAATAATGAGGTATGATTTTCTGAATTACACTGGCCATTACCATGGTAACCACCAGCTGCACACCGATCACACCCTGTGGAAATAGGATAGGGTTGAAATCACATTTAAATAGTAATTATACATACCATGAAGTAATTACACATATTAAGTATAGGTTATTCAGACTGACACATACTGCAGCACGCCCTTTGATTGCATCTGTAGAAAGTATTTAAAATACAATTTGAACTTTAAAATTATATTTCTAATCCCAGATCAAAAGTCTTCATAATATCTTTATTGCAAATGTTCAGAAGTTCAGCAACATTCTTTGAATGTGGCCTACACATACCAACAGACAAAACTGTTGATACACATCAGTCTGCAGAGGCACTCTTATGACTTTACGTAGCTTGTAGATAATATAATCATACAAGCATTCAAACTGTGCATGTGTTGGATATTACATATGAACTCTTAAATGTTGCCTCTAGTGTTTCTGATTTCTCTTCCTTGACAATATAATGACTTTATTAGCTGTTCGTAGACAGAGACGATACAATGTACTTTGTCATGTTCATGTTAGCAGTGTAGCTTAAGATGTTGTCAGAAGGAGAAACTCTTGATTTAACGGGGGCATCACTTTTCCTTAAGTTAGATGTTATATTAATGATGTAAGTTAAAACTTGATCTAAGAAAGACGGTTTAAATACTTCCAAAAGAAAACATAAGGAAAATATCCTTTTGTTGAACGTTGTAGAGATTAGGCTCCACAGTCTTGATTAAGAGCCAGAGTTCAAATAAAGACCTCTATTAAATGGGAAGTGGACTCTGTGGCACTCAGGAGTCCATCGCTTCAATAGTATTTAGACAAAGCTAAAACTATATATTATGCCGTGTCAGGTTGCTCAATCAATTCTTATTGTTATTTTGTCATTTTACCTAAAAACACTGTGAGTATAATACTGAAAGGCCAACACAGAGTTGTACAATCAAAGAGACACTGTGCCAATCTCCCAGGCCACCAATGACAAAAAATCTCATGAGTAACTACACCACTGACAGCTTAAGAGAATCGTTTTGTTACAATACCAATGTTCAGCTGGGATACCTTGGGGCTTGGCATTCATGTGGATGATACTCTGACATGTACCACAACATTAAACTTGTTGCCGACCAAGCACACACCCTCCCTCCATGGCAAAGGCCCTCGTAGGTGGCAGCCGTCTCACCCAACAGGACAACACACTACACCACGACACAAAAACCACTCAGGAACTGCTTGAGGAACATGACAAAGAGCCCGAGGTCTTGACCGGGCCTCTAAACATCCCAGATCCCAGTCCAATCGAGGATCTGTGGGATGTGCTGGAACCAGCCTGATCCACAAAGGACCCAAACTGCAACCAAATGCTGCCAACGTCCTAGTGCCAGACTTCACAGGACACCTTCAGAGGTCCCATGTCAAAGTTCTTATAGGACAAAGCTATTCTGTCAACAGAAGAAGAACCTTCTCAATACGAGACAGGTAGTTTTAATGTTGTGGCTGATTGGTGTATGCGCTTTTACATCATTCACACCTGGATGCATGCGACTCAGTCACATGTCTACCCAATGCCCCACCCATCTCTAACTTAACAACATGGTAAACAGCAGTATCTCCCCACTATTCTGCATGATTTAATAAGTCCCTTAAATGATTGGTGAAACTTTAAGTCTGCAATTTGTAGCCAGTGGTAGATGTGATGACCGAGTGGTGGTTGGCATGAAAATGTATACCTTGTGGTTACTTTGGAAATCAGTGGAGATTTCTCTAGATTCCTGCCATCAAGGTGGTTGTCCCTTTAACACATCTGGTGGTATTAGGTCAATTAATATCATCATTGATTAACAACTACGATTAGCAATTATTAATTGTACAATTTCCATGGCAGGTCTGTAAAAATTACATTTGTTTGTTTTTAAATCTTTGTAAAATGTGAATGTACGTGTCATAATAGGTGCAATTGATGTAAACTGAACTTATAAAGTGATAGAAAACAAATTTCACCCACCACAACTAAGACCAATAACTTCAATCACACTAAATTGCAGAATACAAGAAATATAATTATGCCAAAATTAAATGACAACTGCAGAGAATTTATACAACATAACATAAACATGTAAATATTAAATTAATTGTGAGGGATTTAATTATGAACAAAACAACTAATGTAATCTGAGTACATTTAGCAGTGTGACTACAACATGAAGTGAAAAGACACCAAACGTTTCTCATGTCTGTGTGGCCACGAGCCAACACTCCTGTGGCAGGTACCCAAAGATTTAGCAACATAAGGAGCTCAATATCAGCCCAGCACATTAGATCAATATTCACTTAGGCTTAAGAGGGCAGAATCATTCTCATCACGCTGCGCTTTTATCTACTCACTGTAGGCTAAAATCTGTGGGTTGGCTTCTCTTTGGCAATCAGTAGGAACCATTGATATCTGTACCTGCACACACTTGAGCAAAGAGAACCAATTGGGAAACTAATCCCCAATAAAATATGTTTATCTTTTAACAGTCTTAGATCTGAGCTAGCCCTGAGCTACACTTGCAAGCTCATCACTTTTAAATTACAATACAATAAATCCTGTAGCCTTGAGTGTTTTCTTAGTAGAATGTTTATATACATTATAGTATTGGGCTAAATCGGAACCTACAAAAAACATTTAAAGCATGTTTTAGAAAAGCTGAAATTATAGCCACTGATGCCTACATCATCTTTACCTTTCTGTTCTGATACTACTGTCATTGTAAAGTGTGAAAAACATATAGGCTGCATTCCTACAACAACACTCCTTTATTTAAATATTTTAAAAGACATGTTTTTGTTAAGTGGAACAGTGGGTAGCACCGTTGCCTCGCAGCAAGAAGGTTGCCGGTTCGCGTCCCAGTGGGGACACCCGGGATCTTTCTTCGTGGAGTTTTCATGTTCTCCCTGTGCAGCGTGAGTTCTGTCCGGGTTCTCCGGCTTCCTCCCATAAGGTCCAAAAACATGTTGAGGTTCATTGATGATTCTAAATCAGGGGTGTCCAATCCTGGTCCTCGAGGGCCACAGTCCTGCATGTTTTAGATGTTTCCCTCTTCCAACACACCTGATTTAAATGATCAGCTCATCATCAAGCTCTGCAGAAGCCTGATAACGATCCTGATCATTTGAATCGTGGGAAGAAGGAAACATCTAAAACATGCAGGACTGTGGCCCTCGAGGACCAGGATTGGACACCACTGTTCTAAATTGTCTGTAGGTGTGAATGTGAGTGTGCTTGGTTGTCTGTCTCTACGTGTAGCCCTGTGATAGACTGGTGACCTGTCCAGGGTGTCCCCTGCCTTCACCCTAAGTCAGCTGGGATAGACTCCAGCCCCTCCGCGACCCTAGTGAGGATTAAGCGGTGTATAGATGATGGATGGATGCTTTTGTTAGCTTTGTTAGTTTTCGGTAGACATAGTCTACTTCACACATATCTTGCTTCTAAATATTAGTGACCAGCAATCAAACATTTATCATAATAAACAATGCTGCACTAGTGAGTGTATCTCTGAGTGATACATTTGCTAGTGTCACTCAGAGATATTAGGACCTATACAAATGTAACAACAGCCCATCTCAGACTGTAGGAGGAGGAGGAGGAGGAGGAAGTGACAGAGGAGGTGATCGGGCCAAACCTGTACATTAGACCTACATTTTGGATTGGTCATGGGGATCCCCAGTGTCACCCAGCATGGGGTAAGCTCCAAAAGCTAAAGTCAATACCTTTTCTGGAGTCACATAGGGGAAAGTGGGTGCCATTTATTTGGCAATTATATTCACTCAGATGTGACGCGTGACCAAACACAACCTCTCTGACTCAAGACATTTCTCCATGTGAGCAATGGTCATGTAATATAGGTCAGCAGCAAACAGTCTTAGCTGGTGGATGCTGACCATCCACTGTGGGGGACCTGCACGGATCTCAGCCCTGGGGGAAATTGAGCCAGCATGGACTCTCTTATCTGGCCCAGTCCGCTTGACCCCCTCCACACACCAACCAAATGAAATCTGTTGGGGGTGGAGAGTGGGAGCTGCAGTGATAACCACCATCCATAAGAGCTCAAATACTTCACTACCATTTTACCCAATAAACAAACTTTGAAGGAGCGAAACCATATATTGACCTTTTCATCCTCAGTTTCATTCATCTTTGCTGTTCTATGGTGCATTTAAACCTTCTCGAGCTGTAAACTCTTAAAGCACTGGATCTAAGATTAGATTTTATAATATAAATACAATAACTGTAGTCAGAGATGGGGCCCCACTACATCCATCAAAACGGTCCTGGCAATTAGATTGTACTAAGACACTTGATTGCATCCAGAATGTTTGTAATTTCTGTGACATACTGTGAATAGCTTTAGTTTTTCTTTTCTCATCTTCCCTCCGTATTACAATATATTCTTGCAGTCCTAGAATAAAATGGAAATGCCCTTTCTTTGTTTGATTGCCTCACCTGCTTGTTTAAGATGAGATAAGATTAGATTTAACATTATTGTCCAAATAATGAATAATTCTACCTATCTGATAACTGTTTCCAAATTATTAATGCTATACTCTACATTTTGTCACTGCTATCTTTTTGGAGCTTTGCCAAATAGTTACATTTCCTCCTGATCCCATACTGCTGATCACTGTTGCTTGAGTCATTTGTGTGATTGTGACATTCAGGACATCAACTGTGTTTTGGAGAGAATTCATGAGCACTATAACAAAACAACACTGTCATGGAAGCAATAAGGATTTCCTTTTAGAGGAATATCAATACAAATGTAATGGCAAATGTGTACACTGTAAACCTTGCAGTTATCATCCGTTAATCTACCTCATTATATTCAAAGTTTTTTTTGTGACAGGTGTAACAAAACTATACAGCTTTTACTAACAGACAACAACAACATTATAGTATAGCATAGTAGCATCACATGTCTGTGGAATTACAAATACTTTAAGCTAAAGGTGCCATAATCAACAGATCAACTACACAGTTCCTCTGTGGGCATCCAGAGGTCAAACCGAGCAGCTCAGGTGAGTGAAAACACCTTGACTTCTCCCAAAGGTATCCTGCTGCCAGCTGAATGGTATGCTAACTGCTAAGTTGGTGTGATTCATTCCAGCATATAAACCTTATCTTCAACCTCTGTCTGGCAAAACCAGCAAATGTCAGTACTTCCAAACACTAAATGTGTTTAACAACAGTTAAAACAGCAACATTATTAACATCTCTCGACTGCAGTAAACGTTGAGTTTTAGCTAACGGCAGCTAAAAAGCTACCCTGACCTGCCGGCTGCTAGCACCTGCTCTGGCTAGCAAGCTAAGCTAACGTTACACTGCATCCACAACATCAACTTGGCTGTACGTATAGGCGGGTTAACAAGTACAGTATATATCCACATGAAAACAGATTTTTAACAACTGATGCTCTGTCAATGAAGAAATGAGAGAAACCGTTGCGTTCAGGTGCTCGCTGTCACACTCACCATGTTGATGCAGTGCAGCTAAAACGGACTCTACCCCGGCAACACTGAGCACCCCGAGTCGGAAATCAAGCGGCGAGGAGCACATAAGCCCTTCTTGCGATGGTTATGCACAAAATGAAGGGTTTTTCATTCAAACTGTAACCGTATCCTTACAAAAAATGGGTTACATCGTCAAAAAAAATCAATGGATTCAACCTCCGCTCCCAAGTATTTTCAACTGCAGTAGAGGTCATACTAAAACTCTGCTTAAGAAGGTGTCCTCGGATATGCCTGTATACAAAGGGTAGACTAGGAGGATTTAATTACTCAAAGTGTTGCAAATTGAAATAAAACTGTGGTTTTGAAACACTTATACGCACATGTATGACTGGTAATTTTAAACTGGTGTTTAATATTAAACAGAGCTTGTTATTTTTATGCAGGAATATACAAGACTGCTACACACATTCACTAGGCCCGCCTCAACCGGAAAAGAGCCACCACACATGACAGCTCGGTGGCTGCTTTAAATGTCTGACAGGAGGCAGTGGGCACTTCTGTGAATGGAGGCAAACGAAACAGTCTCCTAAGTTCTTATTCTGATGACCTGCCTCTCGGTGATTACAGACAGCTGATATTCTACTTTGTGTCTATATGACAAAGGTATTTTGCACTCCAGGCTGCCTCAATCCTTCACTAAGGGGTTTAAAAGGGGTGTTTTTTCTTCATAAGCTTTCTAGTATAAAGTCATTAAGTGTAAGACAAGTCAATAGAAGTGCCTCAACCACGTGGGAGACGCTATTTGTTTGAAATCTTCCAGAAGCACTAAAATATAACCTGCCCATCTTTAACCCTGTGGCCCCAAAACACCAGCAGAAACGACACAGAGCTTGCTTTTCATGATTGTAGTGCATCAGCTTAGAGAACAGTTCACAGTAATGACTAAATTAACTCTATTTAGCAAATAAGTTGCACCCATGTCCTGGTCGCCTTTTTTTTTTTTTTTTTTTAAACCACCTCTTCCTTTTGTATTTATTGGTTGCCTGTTTCAGTTCATTTTCTCTTACTGTTTTCCTCCTTTAGTTAAATCTCTCTTTTGTTAGTTTGTTTGTAATCCAGCCATGGCTTTGCCTCAACCATCCCCTCAATATGGCTGTCTGTGCATGTGTTAATCTATGTCATGTCCTCCATGCATTTATATTCAGCATTGCATGTTACTAACTTTGTGTCTGCTCTTGCTCATAGTTTGTGTTTTGTCCTTTCTGTCCTCCCTCCCTGTATCTCTCTCAGGTGTTTCTGGCCCTGGAGCTGTAGCAGTTTGATCTGGTCGTTTCTCTCCTCCGTGGCGAATATAAATAAGGTAAAATAAAATCAATTTGTTATAGCTGTATAAAGTTGTATTTTATATAATTCTTTGTTGGAATTTAATCCTTAATATTTAAATTGCATAGGTAAATTCACACTTTAAATATAAATGTAATGCTTAAACTTCAATATTTAAACTTAATAGGTTAATTCATAATGCCAATCTTATTTTTTCTACTGGAAAGCTCTTTGGTGCGACGGCTATTGCTTTAAATGTGCTGTATAAATAACGGTGAGTTGACTTGACACTGTTTCAATGAAAAAAAACACTATGTTGTGCATGTGAATAGCCTATGTGGCCTTATTATCAGATGTCAAGAACTAGAATGTTTGTGTTACCATTCAGTGACTTTTCTTGAGTGGTACTATTTTGTTATACTTTATATGTTACCACCACTGTTTCTGGAGTTTATTGCTTAATAGAAGAGAATTGTTTTGAGAGAAACACAATCTTTGGCATTACTCTGTGAAGTAAAGAAGAATAGGAAGTTCCGCTGCAGTTCTGAGTACAATTCAAAAGAGGGCTACTGCATTATGTAAAGCAGCACCACCTAAAATGTAAACAATTGATTCAATTCAATAATGATAACCAATAACACTCAAGTCATCTGACTTTTTTTAGCACTCAAATTAATTAAATTCTAGGCTACTGCTCATATTTGTACGTGGCTGCCTAAACTTTCCTCAGTAAATACGGGGCTTACAGTGTACTATAAGGTATTTGATGAGGAGATCAATAAGTAGAGATCCTAAGAAAATAACCCTGAGTTAGGTATCATCTGTACACTTAGAGTTAATTGCAACTCAGTAACTCCAGTTGAATTCAGTGCAAGGTGCCTTTTCTCTTTTGTCTTTAGCATTTGGTGCAAGCTGTTGTTCTACATATACTCTATATATGTGAGGTAAGGCACACCAAGTGTCAAAACTTAATTACACCCATTTTAAAAATCATAAGAATGAGATGCAATCTGTTTAGAGCACAGCTCAGGTTCTGATCAAATTTTAAACATAGGAATACATATTTGCTTTTTTTGCATATGCGTTTTGTACCTGTGCGTGCGGAATGCAATGAACATCAACACGTGGCTATATAAGGTCTCGGCTGTATTTGCACATGCGCATATATTGGCTAAGCCCTCCTCTCTTATTGCAGGGATACCTACCCCACCCCCTTGATGCATCGTGCTAGCCCCTCATGGCACGTAGACACACACACACACAAATACACACACTGCAGGAGTGTAGTCGCACACTGGCTCAATCTTCTCTCTTGCACATTTACCCTGTTACAAAATTCCATTCTGCCCTAAGGCCCTAAGACATCTCTCTGTTGATTGCTGTTTACTAATGATGATGTCAGCAATGAACGCAATTAAGTGAAAGCGATGCGGTAATTCACATGAGGAAAAAAAAAAATACATCAAGACCCATGAAATCTGTACGATTTTGAAAACAGGATGTCATTTCACAAAAGTGGCTCTAAATAGATTCAGACAATGTTTTATTTCAGAATCTGGGTTATTCCATACATTTCACACTGATTTCCTTTTCATTTATAATTGAAGGGAGTCTCATACTGTACATTCTCCTCGTTGTATTCCATATCACACTCAGCACTATCACTGCTGCTGTTTGAACTCTGTTCTCTCTGGAGCTTGTTTTTTCTTTTTTCTTTTCTTTTCTTATTCAGTGTTGTCTGTTCTTTTTAGTCAGGCTTGTTATTTTTAGATGAAACATAATAGCCAGGATCTTCAGTGTACTGTGAGAGTTTCACACCCTTTCCTAGTGTTTAATCCATATGACATCTCCTCCGTGCCTACTGGTTCTTTTGAGTTTCAACTCACAAGCCTTACAATATAAATAAAGATGATGAGAATATTACAGTAAAAAATCTCAGCCTAGTCAATCAAATAGACTCATTGTTGAATGTCACGATTCATTTTTAATGGCAGGGCTTTTTGTGCATGAGTGCTGGTGAGCATTATACATCGTTTCCTTCTTTTATTAATCAAACAACAGTTTGAAATGTGTGTCACTGATCTCAGCAGTATACCTCGAAGCAGAGGAGGAAAATAGAACAAAAATCCATGTCAACTCCTCACCAGTAGGACTGAAAATGGTTCAGAATGTAATTCTCTTTGGTGCAGCGCCTCCTTCTTCATTCTGTGTAATCTACAAGAATGCAAATTACAATGCAAATGCAAATACTACTGAATAATTTATGTGTAGCGTACAGTTCCTTTACAGAAACCGGCAGCTTTTGGCTTAAGTAGAGTAATGTGGCATTCGGAGCACACATTTGGTTAACCACAGAAATACACTATAGAAATTCTCCACGTAAAATCCAGTTTAACAATTTAGTGAAGCAGAAATCAGGAATAAATATCTAAGATGCGGCGTCTCTGCTTTGGAATCATATGATGTGATCCTCTCTGTACTCCACATTGCTGAATCTTGGACAAACTCAGGTCAATCAACAGACATTTTTTCCATCTGGCTGGTTAAAGCTTGCATTTAATTTTACATCTAAGAGTCCTCTTTGGTTTAATGAGTAATTTGCCGTATTCTGATCTGACAAAGCAGCCTTTTACTTAAAGTTACTCTCTGTTGTATTCGATAGTAGTTAAATTATTTTTTCCAGCAATAATTTATGTCCGTGTTCACTCCAGCTGATATTTAAATAACTCCTACATACTGTATGTAAATGTCACTCCAAACCGCTGTTGACATTAGATCCTGTTCTCAGATATTACGGTGCTTTTGCATCCGACACAGTAACAAGACCTTTCAAGGTCCCGATTCAATACATCAATATAATTTCTGTAAATTAAATTGAAGCACATACAGAATGCCTTTGTCTATTACAGACAGAGGGGGGGAAATGACACCCATTACAATTAATGACATTCATACACACTTGAACACATACGTTTTGTCTTCTTTTTAAAGAAAAAAAGAAAAAAAAAAAAGCTTCTGCTTCTATCCTAGCATGTGGCCGTGTTCAGGCTTCTCCCTCAGCAGTTTTTCCATCAGGGATTGTAATTAAGCAAAAGCATTCATGAGTGGGCATGCTCATTTAGCCTGCGTCTGGGTTTAGACAGCTTTAGAGGGATGGAAGAACAAATCCTGGTGGAACAAGGCAATGTATGCTATAGCCAAAGTGAAAACACTGCATACAGAATAACAACGACTCCAGAAGTTAGCAGCATTATGTTGTCTGCAGCATACACTTTCTGCTCTCCGAGTATTTCATCATGGAAAGAGCATATCTTTTTCTTTTGCTGATGTGTTTGCAAAGACACTTTTTTTTGTGACCTCAGCAGAGATGCAAGATTATATATATTTCATTTATTTATTTTTTTAAAAACAGAACGGCTATCTGCCTATTCTGAATGTGTTGCAATTATATGTTTGCAGCTACTCTTTCCTGTGTATAATCCTTTTTAAATGTAGACTTTCACCCTTAAAGGCTGGCGTTATTGTGATCAGTAGGATTAAAAAAATGTGCTTTTTAAAGAAAAAGACTGAAAAATAATTTTCCATCATACAATTTGACATAATGATGTCGTTCTACGCTCATTTGAATATAAAAGAGGAGCTGATTCAGTAATAAAATCTTAGTGCTACAACATAAATATATTCTGTGGTTTTCTGTGTGTAAACCATGAGATCGACTCTGTTAGACCAAACATTCAGACTAAATATCTCTTTTTGGGCCTCAGCTGTACATTTTCAAGACACTGATATTTTATATTGTCACTACCAGGCCTCATTACAATCTAATCTTAAATGTGTAAATATATCGAGCCTTTCCTGCTCCTCGTTTGGGTAATTCTCTCCGCGCCATACTATAGTTTTA